GCCAGATCCTCGCTAGATCCTTTTGCTAGATCACGAGTGTAAGTAAGATCATCGAGTATAAGAATGGAGGAAAAATAGGCGACAGCCCTTTGTCGGAATGTGTTTCACGTATCGTCGCCGTCGGAAGTGGTGGCCTCGCCGCTTTTCTGTATCACGCTATATGCAAATGAGACATATGCTCTCGCCGCGCCACATAATAAATTTACTCGTGTGGAGATGCGTTGTATAGGTAGGGCCTGAAATTACGTACTGGCCCCGCCAGGGACACACGCGGACGGGAATGGCCGAGGCCAGGCCCCGGTCGAAACGGTGGCTTATAATACGCGCTCCTTGCTCGAACAAGTAACGCCAAACTGTCCTTTCGTCGGGGAGCCGAAGCGCCTCTCCTCCTCCTCTTCTTCTTCTTTTTCTCTTAAACACTCTCTCGGCTGCGTCGTATCAAGCAAGTGAAATTTTTTCCTCCTACACAGATCGAGGGAGCAATTGGACGAGGAGGGGAAAGGAACGGTACGAAAATGATGAACGACGTTTTGAACGGGCGAACAATCCAAAGGACGCGGCACCGTTTTTCCTTGTTATTATCGTGCCACCGGCGTGACAAAGATTATTGAAACCTCCAAGGACGGCTCGCTTCTTCTTCATTCTCCTCCATTGGCCGAGCTTATCGCGAAATACTTATCCTTGCGGAATACGAAAATATTGCGCGTGTTTCTCTATTTCTCTTGTTAACAATCCGCTGCTCGTCGGAACAGAGGCGTTTCAAGAGTAGAGAGAGAGAGAGAGACGTTTGAAAATGTTTCAGAAATCCGTTTTGGCCGGCCGAGAAAGAGGGAACTTTACGTTGGTTGTTTACGTGGCCGGGGTTTAAAGGGGAGGGGAAGAAGAGAAAAAGAAGAAAAGAAAAGGAATCGTTTCTTTTTCCCGAGCAAACACGAACGGCGTTGTAAAACAATTTGCCGGGGCTATGGTAAACAATGGACGATCACGAGGATGGACGTCGGTGGTGGTTCGAAGATGGTTCGAGGAGGCGACGAGCGGGAAGAAGGCTCCTGCAATTCTTCTCTTCTTTTCATAAACCCTTAATTTTACGATGATTAGTACAGTACTTCTGTCTCTTTCCCGCCAATTTTAATCCTGCAAAGTTCGAGATCTCTGCCCTCCACTCCTCTCGTCTCTCGGTTACGAAAAACTAGGGTTTTACAATCCTCGATTCGAGAAACGGGAGACAAGAGTTTCTCGGGGGAAAGGGGGAAAGGTCCACGCTTTTACCGCGCCAGGTAATTGGATTAAAGGGGGCCTCTCTCTGTTTGCGTTGTCGATCTCCAAGGATATCATCGGTAAATCCAATTTTTTTTTTAGAGTTAGTCCGGGATATTCTCGGTGTTTATTGCTTCCTGGACGATCCCAGCGGCAACAATCGTTTCTCTCGATTATCGAGCGAGGATGGAACTTTTACGATCGACTGCAATTCTCTCTTCCCGTTTTACTTCTTAAAAAATAAAAGAACGTGGAAAAATTATTTAAATTCGCTTGAGAAAGGAAAATAGACAATTATAGATTAAATTTTCAGATACTTGGATTTTTATTTTTATCCATGTTTGTATAATCCAAAAGTGGACTCGTCGTCCAATTGGTTGATCAAGAACGAACGCAACGAAGAACGATCGATACGTTTGATCGAGTGACGCTATCAATCGTGGAAACGATGTGATCGCGATCCGCGACCCATGCCAAGATTAATACTTTCGTTGTTGAGAAACGAGACGTGGAATAAAGCGAGAAACGAATGAATATCGAATGCCGTGTGAGAAACGAGCTGTCGCGCGGGAACAAAGCCGCGATGAAAAATGTCATCGTCGTTCAATTACGATGCATCTCGGAACAGGCGGTAAGCCAGCAGCTTCTAATATTATTAGCGTTCGTAGAAACGTGCTTCTGGAAAGTAGCACTTGTATGCGCTCGCCGCGACAGTCTCTTGTGCACGCGTCCCCTGTTTCTAAATACTGTAACCGAGCCTATTTAACGAAGCGGCGCCTCGATGGCTTACCAGCATAAACTATTCGCTCGCTAATTGCTGAAACATCAAATAAAAAAGACGACCAACTGTCTTACTCGTTAACGACCGTTTCGGTGAATGCATAATTTCGTTCGCGCGAAAATGAGCCGTTACCGCACACACGTGTCTCATTGGAAATATAAATTGCCACGGTTGAAATAACATTTGGATCTTCCCGAATTTCGTGAAGATAAACAACGGATCCGGATCGTTATTTTTCCACGATTCGAGATTATAATTCGATTGGTTAAGATACATCGTGGGTTACATCGTGCTTCCGTCCATTAATTAAAGAGGCCGTCCCATTCGATTCTATTAAGAGTCGTTTCTCTCTCGAAGGAAGGAATTTGCATGTGCGAATGAATCCTTGCCAGGCCATTGTTTCATCGGTTTACCACCGGCGTGGTATCGTGACGATGCCGCGGCTGAAATACGACACACGGTAATCGGTTGCCCCATCATGCTTCTGTAATAATTCCTATTTTCAACGCGTGCACGATACGACGATACGACGTTCCCTTCCTGAATAAACGCACGGTTACGTGCGCACACCTCCCTCCACGACGAACAGCTTCCTCCTCGTACGAAAAGCTAGATTGAAAAAAAGAAGAAGAAGAAAACGCCGCTCACCTTGACTGTGCTCACCGGCGTCGAAAGTTTTGCTGGTCATCTGGAACAACGCGTCCAAAGGGCTTCCCTGGCCGGTCGTCCTCTTCCCATGATGCCCGCTCTGGGAGCCGTGCTGCTGCGACGTTTTCCTCTTGAACTGTTGCTGCTGTTGCTGCTGTTGCAACACGGGATGATGCAAGCCTGGATGCATGCCGTGATGCATACCGTGGTGATGATGGCCCAACGGATCGGGGCTGCCGGAATCGGAGACGGAACTCCTTCCGGACGAGGACGAGCTGCTGAGAGGCGGCTCGCTGATCGAACCAGCCGACATAGACGCCAGGGACATGCCCATCAAGGACAGATCCCTGGGCGGCGTGGAATGATTGTGGTGGTGGTGAAGGTGGTGGTGTTGCTGCTGCTGCTGCTGCTGCTGGAGGTGGTGGCGATGGTGATGATGGTGGTTGAGATGGTGGCTCGACTCGACCGTGTCCCACGGGCGCACGATCTTCGCCTTCGGCCTGTGCGACAAGATGTCCAGTATGCTGAAAGACTTCACCCCCCGCTCGTTCGTGTCCCGATCCCTCTCGTCCTCCTCGTCCGAGTGCTGCACCATCTGCACCATCTTCAGACGTTTCAACGGTTTGAAGTAATCGTCCGCGGCCGCCGAACCGCCACCGTTACTGCTAGTCCTGCTGTTCACCTCCTCCTCGTCCTCCTCGTCCTCCTCCTCGTCCCTCAACGTGGTCACGGAATCGCCACCCTCGTGGACGCGGATCCCCCTGCCGTTCGACATCCTGTAATCGCCACCGCGCGAGTAACCGTCCTCGTCGTCGATCACCGACTCCCTCGGGTAGCTTCTTCGAGGGCTCAGTCTGTCCACGTACTCGTCCCTCGATTGGGACAGGCGCTCGTCCTCCTCCGCGCCGGGCGCGACGACCACGAGGGGCAAAGGGCTCGGGCAGCCCACGGAGATCTCGTCCTCGTCGTCCTGAACGTCGCCTCTGCAGGGCGTCCGTCGGTGGATCGGCGGCGATCCCAGGCAGCCGGGCGTCGTGGCGCTCGAGGACACCGTGGTCGACGGTGACATCGTGTACGATTCTGTCATTTCCGTGGTGCACATTCCTCCCGATCGATGACCACCCTCCGCGTAGACGGCGTAGATCCTTTCGTAACGGATCGAGATTCAAACGGTTTGCATCCACGCGAGTTGGAGCAACGTTCACGAATATTCATTCGCGTCAGTATCCCTGATTCGCACTGAAATTCGGCCGAACACTTAGCCGCATTTTCGCACCGGGTCTTCGGTCCTTCCGAGTGTCATTCTTCAATAAACGCGAAACCGCACACTATTCGACCAAGTTTCTCTCCTTTTCAACGAAGCACCGTCATTTTCATTCCCGCCGATCGTCCGTCCAACCGGTCATCGTTCCAACAGTTTCTCTTGCATCACGAAAATCACTCGCACTCTTTACGTACTCTCTTACGTCGTTCCGTACCTGTCATCGTGGCGAATTCTTCCTTCTCTACGATCTTCACCTTGGCCCCTTGCGAGAACTCACAAATCTAACCTGAAATTTGTCCGAGCCGGGCGTGAAACTCAAGAACCACTGTCCGCACGGTCAACGACGGTCATCTTTCACTTTTCGATCGTTCGAGTCCTCCTCTACCGAGCAACGTTAGCCGAACACGCGTCTCGACACTGTCACGAAGCACACGAACGATCCAACCAGCCCGTTACGCGGGCGCATCGAACGTGGCCGGTAGAACGAAACGTCAATACGGATGGATGGTGGAACGAGTTTACAGGATTTGGTGGCTCGCTATCAGGCCAGGCCAAGCCGGTGACTCGAAATGGTACGGGGACGGGTAACTCGGGCCGGTGTTCCCGCAGGGGCAGGCACTTCACTCTCGACCGCCTCGAACACGATCGTGGAGGAGGGAACGGGAACGTTCGAATCCCCTACTACGTCTGGCCCGTCCTTGCGCCACCTCCGCCGATGGGACGTGCCGAGTTGGCGGTGACCGTGGGCGGTCTCGGGCTAGGCCCCGCCCGTCGGAACCCCCTCCCCTCCCCTGCGCCCTCCCCCCTCCCGGCCAGACCTAACCGCGGCCCCTTAGACACGGCAAAATGACGCTGCCTCGATGGAATTTTTACGAGACGTACTTAACGTCCTGTGGCGTTGCCCGACCGGCCTTTAACGCACTCGTCGTCCCTTTCGTCGTCGTCGTCGTTGTCCTCGTCGTCTTCGTCGTCGTCGTCGTCGTCGTCCTTCCTCCCCCGTTTCATCCTCGCCTCGGTTCTCGTACCTTCACCTTCTGTCCTTCTTCTCTCTCCTGCATCCCTTCCTCGCCTCTTTTTCTCTCTCTCTGGGTTCCTTCGCTCGCTTCGAACGTGGGATTGACCCTCCACGACGAAAAGCCCTCGCCTAACGAGGGCCCACCGTGATTTTCGTCCCAGAGCCGGGTCTCTGACGATTTCTAATCTGCCCCGGCTCGACTCGAAAAAAACTGGAATTTAGAAGGGAGGGAGGGGGGAGCGTTCGATCCTTTCCTTCGAGGATTTCTTTTCCTTTAATTTCGCGCGTCGTCATCCACTCGGTGTTTACTCGAAAATTTTACCCGCTTGACGCGATTTAATTCTTAACGACGATTTTTGTAAATTCGTTGTTGGACGATTCGTTCGCTTCGTTATTCATGATCATATCATCAGTCCAATTTTATCATCACGTTACGTCACATCGCGAGATTTCAAAATGCATGATGCTTTCGTATCGATATTCCCGTGCACACGAGCAAGAAATACGAATAGAATTTCTGTTGAAGCCAAGTTTGACGATCGATGCCCGTGTTTCCTTTTTTCCGTATATTCATCCTTCTGTATCGACCGATCGAGACAAGCGGAAGTCGGCCGAGCGGATGGCGAACACGTTTCCGGAATCGTTGGGAACAATCGTGGTGCGGGGTCGGAACAAGGAGGGGAAATATCGTGGTTCTTGGGCATCGCTGGTCCGGAACGGGCCTAGAAAGGCATCTCGCGACTATTACGTACAGGCTATTATCCGCGATCAGTGCCGAGAATCGATTCGCTCGCCATGTAATTGTAGCAATCTGGTCGACAACTAGCAACCGTCACGACACGAGAATACCCATCAAGCCTCTTGCAAGAGAGGATCGAATTTCGCCCTCCTACACTCTCTCCGAGAGACCCTGCGAATTTTTTTCCTCTTTCTCCTTTCTCTGATTACTATCTTAGGCGAACTGAGTTTCACTCAGTTGGTAAATTAATCTTCGTTTCGAAGCAGAGTTTTCGAGTTACATCTCCGATATGCTAATTAATGCTAACAGTCGAGTGCTCGTGTCGTATTCTATGCGAATCTTCTCAGTAAATCTGAAAATGTTGAAACAATTTTCGCGTGATATGATGCATCGTCAGATAGATATATTTTTCTCGTTTTCACTGATTAAGTATATTAGAACACTTACGTCAACAATTCATATATATATACGGGAATAAAATTTAAGCGTTAATCTTAAGACGTAATTTTTCCCAAAACGTAATCTCTTTCGTAAATTTCAAAGTTTCATTAATGTCGACTTCGAAAAGTAAAAGTAAAATCAAACGCGCGAAATCGAAATCGAAACTCTTTCTATTGGCAAAGGCGAAACGAAGAAAAGACGGGTATCGTGCAGTTGGAAGGCAAACCGAGCACCGCTCTGTCCGCTCCTTTTTCTTCCCGTCTCTCCGGCCTTCCCGTCGGCTTTTCTATCCCGATACAAAGAGGCGCGAGCGAGCCTAATTATTATGATAGCTCGCCACTGGATTCTGTCGGCCCCTTTGATCTACCGCCGTTTAGCATGATCCCCCGATATTTAGGTAGGGCCCATTGTGTCCTGCCCGTGGAAGGGGATCCTCGTGCAGCGGATCGTTATGGTGGGGCGATCGGAGGACCACGAACTACGAATGGAGCCCTCTCTCCGGGACGCGATAAACTATTCATCAATGAGAGGTTTTTTTCACTGAAATTTACACTTTCCACTCAAACTTCCTTCCCTCTCTCGATCCTTCTTCCGTGGACCACACGCGTAAACTCGGGATAAGCTCGATCCTCTATCTATCTGTGTGAAAAGTAACGGTTGTTACAAAAAAGAAACGTTTTCGTTTTCTTTTTCTTTTTTTTTTTTTTTCGTTCAAATTCTAAGTCTTTAATCCAAATCCTTGAAATCGTAGGAAATCGCTTACTGCTTGATGTGCTTGGACGTAATTAATTGAATGATAAACGATATAATAAATATAACAATGATATGTAAACACTTTTTGTAATCGTCGTAATGATTAATTACAAGTTAGCTGGATTTTTTCTCTCTTAATTTATGATTTTTCACGGAGAGATCGTTTCAATAGAATGATCAAATAATGTTTTTAAAAATGTCACCAATCTTCAAGAGGATAATTATCTGTACAGTATTTTCCGTGAGTTTTCGTATTTCTTTTTTTCTTTTTTATAGACAACAAGTTATTCCGTTGATGTTACTTAGATAATTGTCAAATTTGCCCTCTTCTTCAAACATTGATCCTTCGGATCTTTTCTTAATTTATTTATATCGATGCTTTAAAAGAGGGAACTTTTAAAATTGGAAAAATATCCCGAAATGGTTAAAAACGAATTGTTTTATAATTCAATTTTGTCTAATGTAAAAATATAAAGTGAAACTTATATTATATATAGGAAAACAAACAATAAATTGTGATATTATTAATTTAACCAATTTTTCAACATACGTGGACGTGACTTTACTTCTTCTAAATTTTTCTATAAGCATATCCAGATATTTATTAACAGAATTATTATTCTTGCTAATAATTGTTCCAATAATACCTTTTATATGGAAAATAAACATTTTCAAATGGACAATAAGAAAGCAAAATTATGAACAAACATGGTAACTAGCTAAATAATTCGTTTAAACGAATAAATTGGATTAAATTAAACACGATTGTAAATAACGTAATTCCACGTACCTTTCATCCTTCCTCTACCGAATTTCCAATAAACGCTCACTCCCTTATTTATCTATCCCAAGAAAAAAATGAACAATCAACGATACGAAAGTATGGATAATTCTGTAATAAGAGGAATAATTCTGTAATTCTGGAATAAGAGGGAAACGGAGTGGATGGTGGATTTGCAACATGTGGCAGAAGGGATTGGGCAAAGAACTTAAAAGTAGCTTCGACGAGTACCAGCTCTGATGAACGGTTATTTATGCGTTAACAGCAATTGCGTTAGATACGCGTCTATGCACGTTGAATTCGTTGGTGTTGGTCAGATGAATAACCAGTCGTGAGAAGATCTTTCGTAATGCATTGGAATGTTTCGCGTTTCTAACGCGAACGCCGACGAACATCTCGCCTCTCTTCGGATTCGTGACATTTATGGGAGCGTTATAGGCTCGATATGGATATTATCTGGATCTTGAGGCCCGGCTCGGCTATCTCTCAGTCCACAACAATATATATCTTCCTTTCTTTTAATTGAAACGCGTTCTCCTTTCCATCCATCGTGCAAAATCTCCGTTTAATTAGCACCTCGATCAAACGACTCGATTATCCATCCACCACGATTTTACATCTTTATTCGTACCTTGATCTTGTGGACTACATACAGTCACGTTCAACATTCTCTTTCTCTTCTTCTTCTTCTTTTCTTTTTTTTTCTATCGCCCAATCGAAATCCGTATCTGATTAACGCCTCGTGCGATTTAATAAGTCGTTAAGCACGCGAAACAAGGTTCGCAACTACCGATAAAATTACCATCACGAACGAAAATCCAGTAGGTGCGTGGTGGTAGCGCACGCATCGGGGCGAGGGGGAAAAAAAATGACTTTGCATCGGGCCTACGTTTAACGAAATACCGCACACCGTGCTGCCAGTCGTACGAGTAAAGCGACCTGACGAGCACTAATAACTATCCAGTGCGCCGTCATTCTTATCGAGCCGTTCCATCAAAACCGAGGTTCTCTCTTTCAGCTGATATAATGGACACCTATACTTAACAGTAATTGCCGCGTGCATCTCGTCGTAATAACGAACCGGTGAACAACTCGCGCGGAGGAGCGCTTGTTTGCTTGGCCTTCCCTCAAGGCCTTGCCTCCGCTTCAAATCAAACAGAATTTAAAAGAACCTTTCGTCGTATTCCAACTCCTCTCCCCCTCCCCCGTTTTCGAATCGTCCTCAAAATTTTACCCGAATCGAAGCAAAGCCTCGAGAGACTTCGTTTTCCTTCCATTAGCTTAACGCGAGTACAAATTTATTGTGTAATCTCGACTATTGCATGTACTTCTCGCTTTGTACGTATCAGATCGATAAACTTCAGTTATACGAATAATGCGTGTATATTAATTATATAATATAAATACGTGAATAAAATTGAATATACGTTTTACATCTTGTCGCTTATCTCTCGTTCGCACAGCAAGAACTCTATTGAATATCATCCTCCCACGTAACACGAAGATTCTTCGCGATCCCGCATATAAGAACAAAAGGGATCCACCCCTGTGAATAACATTAATGGAAACATTGTTCGGGCACGAGGCTCGGTCTTAATCAAAGGCATCGGTGACGACGCCCGCTAATAATGTGTATACGACGTCTTCGCCGAGCTATCGACCTGTTCCATCACGTTCTGTGTCTCTCTCTCCGCGTTAGACGCGATACGTGTACTTAGCCATAATTGACGAGAGACGAGTCACGCGAGCCCGCTCACCGGTTCAACGTGTCTTTGGCGCATGTGCGCGCTCTTCTCCGCTGCTTTGCGCCGCAAACGGGTAGGGGAGCCTATCTATTTTCCCCCACCACGTACTCGCGAGCACTGGAACGCGCCGCTGGATTAACCCCACTCGTGCCCCTCCCTCCCCCGAGTACAGCCCTCGACACGCCCACAAACGCTTCGCCTCGTCTCTCTCTCCCGTTCAAGGTTATCCTGCCTGGTACCGCCTCCCCTCCCTTTTCTCGCGCGACACCGTGCCGGCAA